CCCCGCAGCTCCAGCCGGGGCACACCCGGAGCGGGGAGCGATGAGGCGCCTGCCCTGGAGGCGGTCGGTGAGGGGCTGCAGCCCCCAGCCCCAGCGATGCCCCTCCAGCTCCTCGGCCAGCCGCCCGCTGCCACAGGAGATGAGCCAGAATACGGGCCAGCGGCGCATGAACCCCCTCAACATCCAGATGCTCTCCAGGACCCTCCACGAGCAGATCTTCCGCGGTGCCCAGGTGTGCTACTCGGCGGCGGACGTGCAGCGGAGCGTGGAGCACCTGCAGCGCCACGACCTGTGGGGCAAGGAGACCTCCACGCTGCCCGACGTGGACCTGCGGCTGCCCCGCATGTACGGGGACAACATCGACGAGCACTTTCGCCTCCTGGCACAGAAACAGAGCTTGCCCTACCTGGAGGCGGCACACGAGCTGCTGCGGTGTGAGCTGCCCCCCCTGCCTGCCCAGTGGGCATGGCAGCTGGGCTGGACCCGCTACAGCCCTGACGGGCGAGCAGAGCCTGTGGACTTCCCCGAGGAGCGGGCGATGGTGCTGGACGTGGAGGTGTGCGTGGCTGATGGCCACTGCCCGACGCTGGCTGTGGTGGTCTCACCAAATGCCTGGTGAGATATGGTGCCAGCAGTGATAAGGGAGTCACAGCAGCGGGGGGGACACAGCTTCAGGAGGATGGGGATGCTCCTGAGTGGAGCCTTTTCTTGCAGTTCCACTGGCTTGTAGGGAAAACACAACGAAGCCCCAGAGCATGGTTCTGGGATGTGGCATGTGTGTCCTGGTTAGCAAGTGTGGCACTCCCCAGGGTGTGTCACCTCTCTCCCACAGGTGGGATCCTGCTCAGCACCCCACAGCACAGCAGGTGCTTGTTGTCCCAGGAGCTCCTGCTTTATTTGTTACAGCTGCGTGTCCCCTGCAGGTACTCGTGGTGCAGCAGGCGGCTGCTGGAGCAGCGATACTCCTGGTCCAGCCACCTCACTCTGGCCGACCTCATCCCCATGGAGAGCCCGGCAGGTGCCAGCTGTGCCGGCAAGGAGGACTGGAGGGAGAGTGTGGTGGTGGGGCACAACGTGGCCTTCGACCGGGCATTCATCAAGGAGCAGTACCTTATCCAGGTGAACTGCCGAGCCATTGCTTTATGCCCAGCAGCTGCATTTTCTGATGCAGATAACTGTTTGCATTGGCTCCTGGGGGTTATTTTGCAGATGCTGTTCTGCACAGGTACCCCAGGGTTGTGTTCACTTTGTCCTGCAGAGTACTTTGAGGTTATATCTCTTTAGAGAGAGATACTCTTGTACCCCATAAGGCTGCTGAAGGCTGCTGGAGGCTGCTGGAGGCTGCAGGTTGGCAGCTGGGGGTGTGGCAGGAGCCTTTGAGCAGCTGACAGCCTGTGCTGGGGGTGCTCTTGGCTCTCAAAAGATGGATGTGGGAGACAAAGCCTTGTCTTGACAAAAGCAGCTTGAGCAGAGGACTTGCAGCTTCTTCAGCATTTCCCAAACCCTCTCTTTTCTTCCCCCTGTTGTGTCCCAGGGCTCTAAGATGCGTTTCCTGGACACTATGAGCATGCACATGGCCATCTCGGGGCTGACAGGCTTCCAGCGCAGCCTCTGGATGGCTGCCAAGCATGGCAAGAGGAAGGGGATGCAGCAGGTCAAGGAGCACATGAAGAAAACACGCAGCAAAACAGAGGGGCCAGCGGTGAGTGAGGGAGCTGAGCCACTGGCAGTGGCTCGGGCAGGAGGGGGCTGTGTGCTGCTGTAATGGGACCATTTGCTCCTCTACTGGCAGAATGGGATCTGCTGGAACAGCTTTGCTGAGTGAAGCTCTCCCAGCACCTTCCAGATGAGGTGGCGTTGGTTTAAACTGGAGCAGCAGCATCCTTTATCCCTCCTGATTTCATCCATGGCCAGTCCTTGTCCCACACTGTCTGACCCCCCGTTGTCCATAGATGACTTCGTGGGACTGGGTGCACGTCAGCAGCATCAACAACCTGGTGGATGTGCATGCGCTTTACGTCGGGGGGGAGCCGCTGGAGAAGGAGGCACGGGAGATCTTTGTGAAGGGGACCATGGCTGACATCAGGAGTAACTTCCAGGTGCGGGAGGCCATCCCATCACATCCTGACAGTGGGAGCTGGAGATGGGAGCAGGGTGGTACCAGCTGCTGGGGTAGTTGCTATGACAGCCCCAGTGCCTTGCCCTGTGATAGCAGGGGGGTGGCTTCTTTGCCTGCTCCAACCTGCCGCTGTCCCCAGGACCTGATGTCGTACTGTGCCCGTGATGTCCAGGCCACCCACGAGGTATTTCAGGAGCAGCTGCCACTCTTCATGGAGAGGTGAGAGTTGCCAAGCTCTGACTGATGTTGGCCAAGGGGCTGTGGGCTTAGTGGGCAGCAGGAAGGGTCACAATCCCTCTAGGGATGGGATGTGGCTCCTCTTGTCCTTAGAGTGTCCTGAAGCTCTTTTCAGGAGGGATGTCAGACCTCCCCTGTGTAGGTGAGCAGGAATAAACAGCAGCACAGCATGGCTGGAGGAGGTGAGTAGGTCTCCTGAGGCAGCTCAGAGTGGTACAGTTTTGGGGTTGTTACATAGGGTTGTTTTTATGGCAGCAATTGATGCACAGGGCAGGCAGAAGATACAGGGATCCTTGTGGGTTTAGGGGAGGAACACGGAGGCTCTTATGTGAGGCTGGGAAACTCTAGGTGAAGACACGTTCATGGTCTGTCGTAGTCTGGTGCTTCCAGGGACAACCTGCTCCATCAGATGTCTAATTCCTCACTGCTTTGGGCTCTAGGTGTCCCCACCCTGTGACATTTGCAGGGATGCTGGAGATGGGGGTGTCCTACCTGCCAGTCAATGGGAACTGGAAGAGGTACCTGGACGATGCTCAGGGCGTCTACGAGGAGCTGCAGAAGGAAATGAAGAAGTCCCTGATGAACCTGGCCAACGATGCCTGCCAGCTGCTGCACGAGCACAGGTACCACGGGCTGGGACTGCAGGTCCTGCTGCTCCCACGAAGGAGCCCAGATGCCAGATGGTCCTTGGGGGACTGTGGGTGGATGTGAGGGACAGGAGCAAAGCTGTGGTGTGACAGCAGCATGTCATCAGGTACAAGGATGACCCCTGGCTCTGGGATCTCGAGTGGGACACACAGGAGTTTAAACAAAAGAAGAACCCAAAAAAGAAGAAGAAGAAAGATGAGGATGGGAACAGCCAAGTCTCCCTGGCAGCAACAGGCGCAGAAGGCTCAGCGCAGGAGTGGCAGGAGGGTGAGCACAGGTGATCCCTGGGGACAAGGGGTGTTCCAGGGATGCCTTCCCAGGGGTGCCCAGAAAAAGGGACAAGGTTTGTTGGTGCTTCAAGGTGAAACATTGCTGGCCTGTGTCCCCATGCTGGGGCATGTGGTGGGGGGCTGGTTTGAGGTCCCTGTTCCCAGAGGAGTGTCATGGAGGCTCTTTGACAGCCAGTCCTCCTTGTCCCACCAGACCCTGGTCCCCCCGGCGAGGATGAGGAGCTGAAAGTCCCTGCCAGCCAGCTCTGTCTGGAGCGCCTGAAGGAGACAGTCGCGCTGCAACCCAAGAGACTCCAGCACCTGCCAGGCCACCCGGGGTGAGTTGGGGACCCTGGGTGTCCCCAGGGCTTGCCCTGTGCTTTCTGACCCATCCCTGCTGCTCCCCAGCTGGTACCGCAAGCTGTGCCCACGCCTGGAGGAGGCGGGGTGGGTGCCTGGACCCAGCCTCATCAGCCTGCAGATGAGGGTGACCCCGAAGCTGATGCGCCTGGCCTGGGACGGTTTCCCTCTCCATTACTCAGACAAGCATGGCTGGGGATACCTGGTGCCAGGACGGCAGGACAATTTGCCAGCAACCCCCTCAGAGATCGATGAGCCTTCCTGCCCATACAGGTGAGAAGGATGTAGTAGCCTACTGAGCTGGGGGATGTTCCGTGGGGGTATTTGGGAGCTCTCTGGGGCTCTGCCCAGGTGGTGCTCCAGAGCCTCAGGCCCCACTGTGGTTGTGTGAGCCCTGTCCTCTCCTCTGCCAGGGTGATTGAGAACCTGTACAAGCAGTACTGCCTGGAGAAAGGCAAGGAGCAGCCCCCGGGGCTGGAGGGTGCCATGGAGGACGAGCTGCTGGTGATGGATGGCAGCACAATGTGGCAGAAGGTGAAGGAAGGGATGGAGGGTCCTTTGGGAGTGAGGTGTGGGGCTGTGCTTCTTCCTCTGTGCATGTGAAAACCAACCCTGTGTGCAGCTCCAGGCTCTGCAAGTAAAAAATTCCCTATAATAAGGGTTACTGGATAATTGGTGTTTGACCTGACCTCCCCTATGGTCCCTCTATGCCTCAGGTGGAGGAGCTGAGCCGTGTGGAAGTGGATGCAGAGGAGAAAATGGGCAGGGTGGACCAGAGCCTGGTGCAGGTATGGGGGGTTCCTGTGGGATGGGGTGGTGGATTGGTCCCTCTTTCCTTGATTTCCCCCTCCAGCCATGCCTGAAGGTATTCCTGGCATCACCTCACATTGCTGGTCACAGGAGGAGGTGGATGAGTTGTGCGACAGGCTGGAGATGAGCCAGCCCTTGTACCACCATGGCAACGGTCCCTACAACGATGTCAACATCCCTGGGTGCTGGTTCTTCAAGCTGCCTCACAAGGCAAGTTGGGGCTCCTGTCACTCCAGTGCTGCAGCGCTCCTGGGACCCACGTGATCTCATCCCATGGGATTGGGTGGTGGAAATGCGTGTCTGTAGCTGGCACAGGAGGATGCACAGAGCTTTACTGCTGTGGATTGGTGGTGACTGAGCCCTGACACCTCTTTTCCTGCTGAAGGACGGGAATGAAAACAATGTGGGAAGCCCTTTTGCCAAGGATTTCCTGCCCCAGATGGAGGACGGCACCCTGCGGGCTGCTGTGGGCCGCACCCACGGGACCAGAGCCCTTGAGATTAACAAAATGATCTCATTTTGGAGGAATGCTCACAAGCGGATCAGGTGAGCAGCTGCTTTCACCTTGACATCCCTGTGGGTGGAGGCTGCTTTGTGACCAGGGGAGTTCGTATGGGTGCATGGGGGGCTCAGCATCTCACCTGCCTTGTGTCTCCCCAGCTCCCAGATAGTGGTGTGGCTGAAGAAGGGAGAGCTGCCTCGTGTGGTGACCAGGTACGGGGAGGAACGCCCCAAATCTGGACTGTGGTTCCCTCTACCCCACGCCAGGAGGGCTCTCACAGGATGGTGCTCACCCTCACCTCTCTCCCAGACACCCTGACTATAACGAGGAGGACAATTACGGAGCCATCCTGCCGCAGGTGGTGACCGCAGGCACCATCACCCGCCGGGCGGTGGAACCCACCTGGCTGACAGCCAGCAATGCCCGGGTATGGCCCTGCTTGGATCCTTATGGGGTGTTTTGAGGTGCCCTCTGTGTGTTTTGGACTGGTGGGAGCTGCCTGTGTTGGAAATAGGAGTTGGGGATGGATGCTGGGATTTGAGGTGGCAGGACCAGTGCTGGGGCCCTTTTCTTGCTGATGTGCTGTGAGCTGGGGAGAGGGGAAGGAGTGAGCAGAGGGTCTGGGGCTTTAGGATTCAGTGGAAGGAGAAGAAAACACCAAAGTGCCTGCTTCTGTCCTTCCTCAAGCTCCCCTTCTTTTGTGCTGAAGGGACTGACCAAGTGGGTGATGCCCCATATGTGTGTTAAACCTGGTTTTGACTGAGAGCAAAACTGAGGGGCACGAAGAGTGCTGTGCCAGCACATTACAGCTGCGGGAGGAAGGTTGTGCCGGGGAGGAGGAGAGGGCTGTGCTGAGCTGCATACTGTGTCCTGCAGGCTGACCGGGTGGGCAGTGAGCTGAAAGCCATGGTCCAGGTGCCACCCGGCTACTCCCTGGTGGGCGCAGACGTGGATTCCCAGGAGCTCTGGATAGCCGCCGTCCTTGGCGAGGCGCACTTCGCTGGCATGCACGGTGAGCCGGGGCCGTGCCCCAGGGGAGCGTGTTTGCTGGGTAGTGGGGTGACCTCCCAGTCCTGATCCCGTTTGATGTCCAACCTCTGCTTCCCTCCCACAGGCTGCACGGCCTTCGGCTGGATGACCCTGCAGGGCAAGAAGAGCAATGCGACGGACCTGCACAGCAAGACGGCTGCCACGGTGGGGATCAGCCGGGAGCACGCCAAGGTCTTCAACTACGGGCGCATCTACGGGGCCGGGCAGCCCTTCGCCGAGCGGCTGCTGATGCAGTTCAACCACCGGCTGACGCAGCAGCAGGCGCGTGAGAAGGCCCAGCAGATGTACGCGGTCACCAAGGGCATCCGCAGGTGGGTGCTCCCGGGCTGAGCAGGGACAGGGATGGTGGCAGTGTCCTACAGGAGCTGGGTTACTCGCTCTTCCCTCCAGGTTTCATCTGTCCGAGGAGGGGGAGTGGCTGGTGAGGCAGCTGGACCTGGCAGTGGACAGGGCGGAGGATGGATCGGTGTCAGCCCAGGATGTCCAGCGACTCCAGAGAGAAGCCATGAAAAGGTGAGATGGTCTGAGCCTGTGTGGCTCTGTGGCATCCATTGGGATGTGAGGCAGAGGGAGCTGCAGCCTGACGGGCAGGGGGCAGAGAAGGGAAATGGGGCTGCTGGATAGCCTTGGTGCTCTCTGCTCCTCCAGGGCCAGGGAGGTTTGATCTGGGGGTGGGCTCTCAATTTCACCCACTCTCCCAGTGAACAATTAGCAGGGTCTCATCCAGCTGCCTCAAGCCAGGAGGGAGTGTTTGAGGTTCTCAAACAAGGACCTGCAGCCTCCTCCCACACTTCCATCAAACCTTCTCTCTGCCGCACAGGTCCCGGAAGAGGGGTAAGTGGAATGTGGTGGGGCACCGAGTGTGGGCTGGAGGCACCGAGTCAGAGATGTTCAACAAGCTGGAGAGCATCGCCTTATCCCCCACCCCACAGACCCCAGTGCTGGGCTGTCACATCAGCAGGGCCCTGGAGCCCGCCGTGGTCAAGGGGGAGGTAAGGATGCAGCTCTGGGCTGCCGAGCATTGGGCTTTCCTCATCTTCTCCAAGACGGTGATTCCATGCTCAGCCCTTCTTAGGTGCTGGAGACCCAGTAGGCTCTTGTAGCCATTCAGGAAACCCGTTGTCCCTTTATCTCTGTGGGATCAAGAAAACCCAACAACCCTGAATTTAACAGATTTCTCACAGGAGCTGTCCTGTAGGGGGGGCCATGCCCTGGACCCAGTGCTCTCTTACTATCCATTTCTGTTTCCTTTCACCAGTTTGTGACCAGCAGAGTGAACTGGGTGGTGCAGAGCTCAGCTGTTGACTACCTGCACCTCATGTTGGTCGCCATGAAGTGGCTCTTCGAGGAGTTTGACATCAAGGGGCGCTTCTGCATCAGCATCCATGACGAGGTGCGTTACCTGGTCCAGCAGCAAGACCGCTACCGGGCAGCCCTGGCCCTGCAGATCACCAACCTCCTCACAAGGTGAGACCTGACAGCTGTGGTGTCTCCTGGGGAGGAGCAGAAGTGCCTCTGGGGTGAGACAGGCAAGTTAAAGGGGCTGGGGTTGGCTGTGCCTACAGCAAACTGGTGCAGAGCAGTTTTCTTCTGCTCAGGGCAAGTTAGCAGCGCTGGAGGCTGCAGTTCCTTCATGCATGACTTAAGGTGGCTGTAAATAGACCTCGGCTTTGATTTCCAGGGATAATATGCTGGCAAGAGGGCGATATCATCAGCTTTTGGCTCCTGCAGAGATGGGGCCAGTTACTGTGCTCTGTTGGGATGGGATCGCCTCCTGCTCCCTTCTGGTCTGCAACCATCCTGTGGCAGCAGCCCTTGGGCTTGGCTGAGCAACTGGGAGCCTGAAACTGTCCCATCCCTCATTCCCTGCTGCCTTCAGGGGAGAGCAGGGGGCGCAGCTTGTCTCTGCAGTCCCACTGCTTCCCTGCCCCATGCAAAACTAAGCTCAGCCTAGAAGGCTCCTGATCTCAAAGGGTTCCTGTTGATCCGGCTTGCGGCACAGCCAGCTTTGCCAAATCCCCTTCCCAGCACTGTGGGGTTATTTGGTGACACAGGAGCCATCCAAGGCTGAGCTGTTTTCTCCCGTGTGGAGGCAGGGACACCACAAACAGCCTTTCTGTGCCAGTGCAGCAGACACAGCGGGACAGGCACCCTGACGTTCCTGCCTTTGTGCCAGCTCCTGCAAGCACAGGGCTTCCTGCTGGGAAAATCCAGCATCTGCTCTGCCTGCCTGGGAGGATTAGCCAGCAGTGAAGGGCTGGTTTCTTCCTTTCTCACGAGGAGGCTCCGCTACTTCTGAGGAGGGACTGTTACTCTGTTCTTCCCACACCCGCTTTAGCAATATTTGACCCTCCTGCTACCCAGGACTTAAAAAGCACCTTGTCCCCCACCTGCTGAGCGATGGGGGTGCAGAGTGACCTGTGAGGGGTGGCTGGCCACTTTGGTGAAGCTGTGGCTGATTGGAACTGGGTGTGACAAGGCCAAGAGTGATGTCCAGCAGCGTCCCCCCTGCTGTCTTGTTCTCCCAGGTGCATGTTTGCCTACAAACTGGGCCTCCAGGATCTGCCACAGTCAGTGGCTTTCTTCAGTGCGGTGGATATTGACCAGTGCCTAAGGAAAGAGGTGACCATGAACTGTGTGACGCCCTCAAATCCAATGGGGATGGAGAAGTATGGCATCCCTCAAGGTGAGCATGTCTGTGCAAGCTACACCCTGTACTCCCCTCTGCATGGGCATCCCCAGCTTAGGCAGAGCACTTGGCCTAAGTAGTCACTCCCTGAGGACTCCTCTGTTCGGCAGAGGCACCTCATGAGCCCCTTGCTTCCTGACCCATCATCTCCTTGCTGTGCAGGAGCTGTTTCCCAGATAAAGGACAAACCTGCCCTCAGATTTGTTCTCTCAGTCATTGCACACATCAGCCACTCCACCCTTGGGTAACCTTTATTAGGAATCTTACAAGCAAAAGGTGCTTTTAGAAACAGGAGTTGTGCTCTGTGGGCAAAAAGGGCACCTGTGTTCTCACCAAGAACAAGGCAAATTAAACAAGTGCATCGCAATTAGGGTCAGCAAAAACAAAACAGCAAAAACATAATGGCAAAACCAGCCTGGGCAGAGGAAGCTGTGGCCTCTCACTGCTCAGGAGCTGCACGTGGCAGCTTCAACTCCAAGGTGGAACAGCTTGTGTTCCCAGCTTCCTACTGGTGCTGGTTCTTGTGTTCTCACCACCACCCAAAACAGAAGTTTGAATAAATTTAAGGCTTTCTGTGCTACACGCTCTGAACTAAAGCAAACCACGGCTATCGCTGTCTTATGCTGCAGAGTCTGAGTGTACTGCAGGGAACTGACTGTCCCCTTGTCTTCCAGGGGAAGCACTGGATATATATCAGATAATTGAAATAACCAAAGGTTCGCTGGAGAAGAAGTGATGACGCTAGAGTGCCAGAAGGACAGTTGTCCAGACTGTGTGCCAGAGCCTCGCTGTCCTTTAAGGAGGTCTTTTGGCAGGGACTGATCCCAGTCACTCCATTTCCCTTTTGCTGTAAGAAGGGATGTTCCTGGGGAAGAAGATTTTGGTAGCAGCATATTTGAATAGCAGAGGTGCTTCTGAGGGCAGCGGCCACCTGTAAAACCTGAGACAGGGGCCAGAGTCGCTGCTTGCACTCCCGTGGGCACAAAGGAAGAAGGCATAAGTATTTGACAAGAGAAACAATAAACCATCATCTCCATACATGCAGCTCTCCAAGACCAAGGTGAATCCACCACGGAACAGGCACTGTGGGAGGAGGCAGCAGCAGCAGCAGCCCCGGTTTATTTTTTTCGCCGTCTCTTCTTTTTGGGTTCCTGGTTCTCATCTGTGTGCTCTGCTGCGCTGCTCTGGAGAGGGGAGGGAGAGAGTAGCAGTACAGACTGTGATTGTTTTTGTGTGATTAGTCTAGGGAATGTTTATCTAAAGCAAGAAACCAGATGTGCTGAAAAGGATTTAGCTCTTTTTTTTTTCTCCCTAACTAAATGACATGAATATGGGACTTCTGTCACCCACTGAGACTTTCCCTGTGGGCCAGCCCCACTCTCGAATTCATGTGGAACTTAGATCACAGGCTACCAGTGGCACAGGACAGGGACTGTGTCCTGGGTTTTGGCTTATTGAAACACTCAGGAAAATATGGACAGACACACCAATAAAAACCTGGACAATCAGCAAACAGCTTATTTTTCTTATCCAGCACAGGTTCCTTCACCAGCACTGTCTAGTAGAGAGGGGTCTGAAGAGAATGATGCCTTGCAGAGTTTGCCCTGCCAGGTCTTTATCTACAAAAGTTAACCTGGATGCAAAACCACTTTGCATCATGCTGCAAAGGCCTGATCCTGGCCAGGCAGTAGGTCCTCAGGGGTAACACTGATAGACCTCTCTGCTTGCTGAGGCAAAGAACAAGGCCTTAAGAGCAGTTTCACTTCCCTAAGACCAGGAACACGGAAAGCTAGTACATGGAAATAAAGGCCACTCAAGGCAGAGGGCTGGGGTATAGGGGTTGACCAGAGTAACTGTTCACTCCTTCCTATTAGCTGAGTATTAAAATGAGAGCTAACCCAGGGAAGACAGGCTGTCCTAATTTCACACATGCCTGCACAACTCACAAATACAGTTGGACTCTAAAGAGAGGGAAACCTATCAGTAAAAGCAGCTAAATGAATGCTGACCTGGTCATTGTGTGGCTCATTCTCAGCATCCTCAGTGTTGTGCTCCTGCAGGGCGCTGTCCAGCATGGATGCGTTGATGCGGAAGTCCCGGGAGGTGCTTAACTTCATGTACTGCATCAGGTTCACCTGCAGCAACCAAGGTGAAACCAGGGGGAGAAGACATCAAGCCATTAGCATCTTAGTGTAGTTCTCTACCTTGCCTAGTCTCTTGCACAGCACTGGGACTGAGTCCATCGCAGTAATAACGCAGGACTGAAGCAAAAGGCAGGTGAAAAAGCACCCACTCCCATGCCATCCAGTGGCCCATTTATGTGTTCCTAAAAGCCAAGTGATTGCTAGTTACTCTCACGGTCATGTAGTACCCCATTGTGGTGCATTTCATGACACAGACTGGGAGAGAGGGGTGAGGAAAGCTGGCCTGAGGTGTGCACGCTTCTCCTCCACCAGAAAGCACACACTGTAAGGTCACAGGCAGGACTGACACTGACATGGGCTGGTATCAGTATGGCAGCAATTCAGTAGTGCTGGGCCAGGAGTGTGGGCAAGGGCTGAAAAGTCCTTACACCTTTCTAATTTGAGCATTATTAAAGGTGGACCAGCTATAGCTCTCCACCATGCCCTCGATCCCACTGTTCCACCGAGTTCAGGTCACAGAAGAGCTCTGCTTTACATTACCTTTGACTTCTTGGAGAGATGGATAAGGAACTTCTCATACTGCTCTATTGCAAAAATCAGGTTTGGGATCGGTTTGGTCTCTCGAAGCACTTTGGCCTGAAATGCAGAGAGGAGTGTGATGGGTCAGATTTAGAAGGGAACAATGGTGTTGTAGCATGACATGAAGACCGTGACGTTCCCAGTTTAGACAAGTGTCTTCAGTAGCCTTACTCCTTATCAGTCCTGCCCCAGCAAGCCTTGCCAGCTTTGCTACTAGTTTTAAATTGACTCCCAGGATGGTTCTGCAGTGAGGCTCTCCCATGTGTTGCTCTGTACTCTGCCTGCAGTCCAGAGCCCTTGATATCCCTGACAGCAATGGGAGCAGCAGTTCCTCTGCTCCAGCTCTCCCAAGGCATCACAAGCACAGGCTGTCCAGGCAAGGAGCACACTGATGTTTCACCACATTGTTGTCCTGTTTATTTACCACTACTGGTATTTGTTCCCCATGGTGACAGAGTGGTAAAGGATATGCAGCATTTCAGCCCGTTTCCATACACTCAGGGAAGAGCTGGGAAGATCATGCTTGTGGCTTTTAAACCCTTAACATCACAGGAATGTCTGGGACAGCTGATGAGATGGAGGAGATGCTGTCTGGGAGCACAAACAAAGGACATCAAGGACCAGGAACCTGCCAGCCTGCTCGCTTGCTCCCAACCAAATAATCCAGTCATTTTCAACTGCTTTACTTTAGTGGAATCCATTCCTTCATCTTTAAATGTACTGATAAAATTAAGAAACACTTAAAGAGAATGCAATAGTGGTTCAAATAAATTAGCCCATATCTGTAATTTCATAGCTTACCCCAAACGTTAAAAATATCATAGATCACAAGACTATCCAGACTGACCTTTCCTTCATGTCTGTGAGCTTTTAGGCTGCATTTAGTGAAGGTGGTTTTTTCATTGTGGTTTTTTGGTTGTATTTTGGTTTTGCTTTTTTAGACTTCTCTGAAGTTACAGTAGATTAAATTTGATTTTTACTTAAAGGCCCAAATGACAGTTTGTCCCTGGTGATCTGTAAGAAGCCACCAGGTAACAACAAGCCTCGAGGTATGATTCCAAGTTCAACTACAGCCCATGTTCTGACAGAGTGAGTCAGTCTTACCATGACTGTGGAGACTGCAGCAGCTTCATCCTCTTTCTTCTTCTTTTTCTTCTCTTCCATAAAGCTTAAGCTCTCACTGTGGATGTTCTGAAGGAGGATGCCAAAAGATGTGTCATTACAGGGTTAGCAGGGAAGAAAGGCCAGCTCAGTAAAGCCAGAGAAGTCCTTGCTCTGGCCAGCTAACAGCATTACCAGCTACATGACAGAAAGGTAGCGATACAAGAATGGAATTCAGGGTAAACACAAAAAATAAGGAAAGAAAAACTAATTTCGTAGTTTATACATTCTGAAATATGCATGTGTGAGAAGTCCTCAGCAGTGACAGCTCTGCACACCATGACACCTTCCCCAATATGTTGTTCAATTCCTGTGGTCCTCACACGAGTACTCAGCTCCTCTCCAGGCAGATAAATCCCAGCTTCAGCACTGCAGTCTTTGGCACCCACATTACTTCACACTGTGATGACTGCAGTGTTGTTGACCTTTACTTGCCATTGTGGTTAACAGCAGTATTAATCTCATCCAAAAAAACCCACATGAACACAGGGGAAAAAAAAACAACTGAAAACCAGTTCCTTCCCTGCTCAAGCAGAAATCAGCATGCTCAGTCCCACTGGTGCTGAAATGTGTTATACTATTATTTGACATAGTAAAGCTTGAACTATAAGAAACTCAACTCATGTCAGGAAGATTAATAATCCCCAAAGGTGCCCATGTACTGCAGCTGATACACCACTCAGCATGAGATAGACTGACTGTGATTTTGCCAGTTAATTTAGGCCTTACCTGTACATAAGTAATGAATGAGTAACACTGTGGGGTCAAATGGGAACCTGAGAGCTTCACCTGCAAAGGAGCAGAGAGGTTGGTGTTACTCCTAACTCGAGGCAAGGAGCCATTTCCTCCAGCAATTTGCTCACACTCACCAGCTTTTCCAGCCTTCCTGGAATGGTATTCGAGGTGCTGCGGCAAGCTTGGATATACTGCAAGAAAAACATGAGTTTCTTCTAGGTATGCTGTTCTCATCCTGTATCCAGGCAGAGCTCAAAGCAGCTCATCCAACAGCGCAGTGGGGAGGGCAGGATTTGCAACAACTATCCCCCACAGTGGCTTGCTATATCACATGTCTGCATTCCAGAGCTGTGAGAGAAGAGCTCTGGGGCATTCACCACCTTGTCTCAAAGGAGCTCCACTGGCCTGCTTTCATGGCCCTGTTCCCTCAGGTCCTGCCCCGGGCCTTCAGTGGGAATGAGTGGCAAGGGCAGGATTGACGAGTACCGTGAGAACACTGTTAGTGCTGTTCATTCTGGCACAGACCTGCACAAAGGAACCCACAAAATATACTGGAAAAAGCCACTCCAAGCCATGGAAAGCCAAGTTGAGCTGGAGAGAAGCTTCCCCTTATCTCCACTGGTACAACTATCACTGCTCAGAAAGGTCACAAAATTGAGGGCATGAAAGCCAATAGAATAAGGGCTCAGCTCCTGCAAGAGATCAACAGCCCAGTTCTGAGTGTAGCTGCTGAGGTCACTGTGAGCTTGCTGCAGCAGATGGGAAGAAAGCTTTTAGCTCATAGCCAGCTCACTGTCAGAGGAGCACACTCACATGTTTGATGAGGGAGGTGAGAATTGTGTATGTCTTGCTGAGGCTTCTCAGCAGTGTGTCCACACAGCTCCCTGCTGGGAGTGCAGTCTGCACCAGCTCATGATAGACTGTCAGCAGAGTTCCCAGCTGCAGAATTACACCTTTCTCCAGAGCCTGGGTTTGGTTTGATGGCTGAGAAGGGTCTTCTAGAAGAAAGAGATGAATACTTGGTGAATGTGTGTCTAATGAATCCTTTTGTGCAGGTGGGAGGCACAAAAGGCCCTCTTTGTGTCCAATGCACAAAGCACCCATGTGGCACAGGGATCACTGGAGGGATTTTGTGACAACGCCCCTTATCTTACATTGTTCATGTAGAACCAGTTTGAAGGAGAGTTTAACCTGCCCTCAGATGATGCTGTCTTAAAATCCCAAGATACCTTTTTTCTTCTCTGTCTTCATCTGGTTTTGACAAAACATGTAACATTAATAATTGGACTTTTATTACCTGATGTGTTGGACCCCAGACTGGTGAGTTTCTTGATAAGCCAATCCACCTCTTCAAGGACCTTATCCACCTGACCCAGAACCAGCAGCTAAGACAGAAACACCAAAAACAAAACCGGTTTTTGGAGGAGTTTGGCACAACAGGAACCTGCAAGCTGTTTGTCACACCTTATCCCTGGACTCTACATATTGTTCCACACACAGTATTTTGACTCACACAGACAGTGGGGGCTGCAGTCTTGGCATTCACTATGGCAAAATGGCACCGACTCTCCACTTCTACGTCCTGGCCAGAGGAGAGAAAACAAATTCTGGTGAATAAAACTCCAGCTGCTGTCACACAGTTTATACCAGAGGTGCACTCAATTCTGCCCTGACAGCACTATGTGATGAAGGGCTAGGCTGCTTCTGCATCACACCTGATCTATGTCTCCCAGGCAAGCGTGGATGTCTTGTGCAAGTTCCCGCAGGAGACTGACCGGGCTCTTGTAGAGAACGTGGACACTGAAGAGCAGAGACAGCAAACCCTTGCAGCAAGAGATATCCTCTGTGGGGAAGAGAAAACAACACATTATCAGGCGCAGAGCTCCCCCAGCTACTTAGGAACACCAGACA